CGCAGGGGCAGGGGGGAGGGGACGAAGCTGTCTGCCGCCATTTTGCTTATGGGCTGCCGCCCGCCGTTGCCCCCCACAGAGGCGCGAAGGTAACTGAAGACAGTAAGATGGATAGAGTCTCAGTCTTTTTCACAACAGAGGCATTCAACAGTTCACCAAAGGTTTGGGGGAAGTTTCGGTATTTGACGGAACCGGTTCTTTACCCGTTTTCCCTGAGTAGCCCTCATGTCTGGTTATAAGTGAGCTTGGGCATGTCACTGTGGGGAAGGATGATGACCGTAGGGCCTGGATAGACCCCTGTCTCCATTGCCCTCCTAGAGCGATGCACTTTCTTCCACCCGCAAAACAACCTCGGCCCCAGTCTCCCCCTCCCCCGCCCCAGTCTGGCCACCAGCGCTGGGCGAACCCGGCTGGGGTGTCACTCGACGCCCACTAGGGGCCGAGGAACTTCCAGTGCGCAGGCTCCGGGCACCGGATAAAAGCGGAGCTGGCGGGTCCAGCGCCGTCTCGATGGAGGAGCGAAACTGAAGAGTTCGGGGGGAGAAGCAACAGAAAACATGCAGTCACTGCCAGCGCCGCCTCCCTGCCACCGTGTATCGGGGTAAAAGCTGCCGTTGCCATCGGTGCAGTTGCCGTCGCTGCCTCCTATACTTCTTTTGGCCCCGGGAAAGGATTTCCCTGCCGCGGGACAATATGCGGGGAGGGGAGCGGTGATTCCTTTAAGTGACGGTGATTAAACGAGGAAGGGGTAGAGAGACTGCTATATCTAAGACAAAAAGGGGAGGCCAAATAATAAAACAAGGATTCCCCCACTAAAGTGACACGGCAATTCCGGCTCTCCTTTTGGGGGGGGTCTCTCCCCGAAATGGCGGTTTCCGTCTTCTTGCCCCACAGCGACCCGGAGCTCTCGGTAAGCTGAGTGGGGAGAGGCAGAGGCGGTCTCAGCAGCCAATCGGTGCCCGATGTGTTTTGTCGGGCGCGTTGTGATTGGGTAGCGATGACCTCATGCTGCAGCAGCGGGTGGGGCCAAGGCCGCCGGGGGAGGCTGTTGCAAAGGCAGAGAGGGAGAAGTGACGATGGTGATCGTTGCTGCCGCGGCCGATATGGAACCCAAGCAGTGGCGAAGGGAATCGCAAGGCTCCTCCCTGACCATTTTCTCCTGTCCCTGCGCGAGGTGAGGGCCCTGGCTCGGCCTCTGCGAGACTTTGGGGCGATGGCGCGGACGTGGAGACACGATTGCTCCTGTGACTTTTTAACTGCGTCAGGGCAAGATGGCGCTGGGTCTCCTTGGGGCGCGGGGGGAGAGGCACGTCCACCGCCGCCGCAGCGCATGTGACCGGCCGCATTCCTGTGGGGTTTGGCGCAGACCCAGGCTGGGGCGGGGGAGGGGACAGGGCTTGGGCGGAGGAGACTTTGGTGCGGTCGGCGTTGGCGGCCTGAAGAGGAAGAGATGACTCTTTCAAAGCTTCCCCTCCCCCACATCGCAGAGCAGCTGCGCCTCGCGGGAAACCCCCGGGAGGGACACTCCTTTCGGGTGTGACTGCTGTTGGTGGAGGAGGTTTGGCGCCCTAATTTCTTATCAGCCTTTCTCCTTGCAAATAGTACTTACGTAAGGTGGCAAGTCCCTCCTCTGAAAATGGGAATCGATTATGAGTCTCTGAGGGCCACTTGGGTGGGTGGGTAGCCAAAGGCGAGGCTATCTCCTGGGTTCGGAGAGTGGGGACACAATGACAAGGAGTATCGACTGTTTTCTGGGAAAATGTGAAGTTTCTCAGATCTGAATAGAAAAATAGAGTAATACCAAAATTTAGAAGCAGGTGTAAAACAGCCAAAGACTGTCATCTGAATTGTAGGGCACTTTTCAAATTCTCCTTCCATTTGTACCTTCTGTTCTTCCTTCCACTACCCTCCCTTGTCTGTAAATCCTGTAAGACTGTGTAATCGTATTGGTGGGATTTGCCTTTCTATTTAAATATAGGCAGAATAAAAGCTGCCAGCGTCTGTATGAACTTATAAGGTAGTTTTCAATACTTTCAGTATGTTGCCTTTCGTCTTTACTCCTGCGTTTAAAAATAAAAGATGGACTTGTAAGCACTTCTGATAAATAATATTCAATAAGGTCCCTGAATCATAAATATTAAAGCCTTACTCTTTAAATCAATTTTGTAGTCGTATGAACTAAGTTTTTTGAAACCTTAGGTGAAGATGTCCAGAAGCTCAAGACTTTTTAAAGACTATGCATTTATATATTTTTGTTATTCCCACTTGACCATTCTAGTTAATAGTAGCCAAAAACAAGAGAAGATTTAAAGGCGTTCTCTTCCTTTGGATGGTGTTGAGCAGGGAATTGTTCAACAAAGATACTTGGAACTAAAATCTTGACATCTTATTGACAATATGTGTATTAGATGTTAGGAGGAAGTACTTCCTGGACATAAAAGGATGACTTTAACAGGGGTCAAAATTGTAACGTTTCTTTAGTTGTAGGTTTTCTGTTGTTCGTAAACAAGATTGTGTTTCTAATTAATTTGCTTATTATTGAATTCTTACTAGTTTATGGGGATTTCTTTTTCAGTTATTAAGCAACCTAATGTGAGTGAACTGAAAAGCCAGTACTTAAAATGTAAATAGTTACTTAGTACAAAGATTTTAAAGTTCAAAGCTTTTTTTTTTTCTTTTGCCTACTCAGGCTGTTAAAACAGGCATTTTGTATGAGAACCCTTGAATAAGTATTACTTTGTCTTGTGTAAATTCCTGGCTCCCTTTCTTTCCTCATAAGAACTTTTCTTACTTAGAAAATCTGATACTAAATATCAAGCTAGTAGATTACATAAAATAATTTTCAGCTTCATTCTGCCTAAAAAAGAAAAAGAAGTCATTCTCTAAGCTAATAGAAACAAGTCTTTTGTAGTTTTGATCAATGTGTTCCTCATGTTTCCTAACTGCCAAATCCATTAAGCTCTTGATTTTTCTTGATTATTCTGAGATTTTTAAATGCTAGTTGGGATTACTTTCCTTTGACTGCTTTCTTGAATAACGTTCTCCCTGGACAAAATCATTTGTGCCTATTCTATGAACTTAGCAGTGTTCACCTCCATCTTAGTTCTAGCTTCAAATGCAAATCTTAAGGTTTAAAGGGGGCCACAGGCTTTCTGAGCGCATCAAATACTAGCTTGGTACTTGATTCTTAAGAACTTTCTTTACTTATCTCTTCAAAAACATTATTTTTATTCAAATCATTGTCTCTTATACAATTGCTGTAATCTTACTGGTTTCATGCATCACATTTTCTGATGTTCTAAAATGGCATTCTATCTCAAGAGATTTGTACTTTATTATACTTTGTGCCTTTGCCCTCCAGTCTTGAGTGCTTCTTCCCACTTCTGGGTAAAACAGCTTTAGCCTTTTTCCTTATATTTCAAAAATCTTCCAAATACATCTCTTCTCCCAAATACTTTAAGCTGTTCTTAACATTGATGATCCACCAACCCAGCAATTGACATTTGGTTGGCATTTGGGTGTGCATGTTTCTTTAGAGATTGTTAAGATTAAACACTTTGCTTATAGACTGTATAGTCTTAAGCTAAAATAATTGGCTTTCAGACATTTTCAGAAGAGCTCTTTACAGCACTATTGTTTGAATAAGAGGAAAAGATTACCCAAGGGAGAGTGAGGCAGAGAGCAGCTGATAGGCTGCAGAAAGGAAGAAGAAATAAAACTGCTGAGTATTTTTGGATATTCTTGTTTTTTAGATCTAGAGGATGGTTTTCCTTACAAACTTCAACAGTATTAAACACTAGCAATTAAGTGGGTTTATGAAACCATGATGTGTTTGAGGTTTATCAGAGTATGTGGCACTGCTTTCTCTGACATTAGAGGACCTAATTTGCTGTTACCTCAAGTTTAGTTTGTGTCACTGTATGAATCTCTAGAGGCTACATATTTTTTATATCAGGAGATTGGCATTCCAATAACAGGACTTATTAACATTGTATATTATATAAAGCCCTGAGATGACTCTTTGTGAGTAAAATTTAAACATTGATTACTATTGTCTGCTCTTAGACCTTTTTGGTATATTTTTGAATAGTCACTGGTACTACTTTACCATTTTACATAACTACTGAAACTTATGTTCAACATAAGAAAACATTCTGATTCAACATGTTACTGGGTTTTGTTTTATATAATACAAATTTTCATCTGTGGCCCGCTACTACCCCAGGCATTTTAGTGACCTGTAAACATAGAAAAATGAAAAGTTCATATCTGAAAAAGGTTTGAACTGAAATAAGTAGGTATACATTAAAAATTGTGATTAAACATAACACAGCCCAACTAGTTTAACTTTTTGGTACAGGGATCGCTTAACCACTAAACCACATCCCCAGTCCTTTTTTTATGTTTATTCAGAAACAGGGTCTACCTAAATTGCTTAGGACCTTACTGGGCTGGCTTTGAACTCTCTACCCTCCTGCTTAAGCCTCCTGAACTGCTGGGATTACAGGTTTGCTTGGCTTTGCACCATTTAACTTGAAAAATGGATTCAGTGTTGTTATGTTAACACTAATTCTCAAGTCCATATTTGCAAATCGGGCTCTAACATTCAAGGGTTGTGGATACCTTGAATCGGCTTGATTATTTTTCTTAAAGAGGTAATAAATTTATTTCTAGCTAGGCAGAGGTAATTCCAGCTGCTTAGGGG